ACTTCTGCCAGCTGTTCTTCAAAGGATTACTATTGAAAACATATAAAGAACTCAAAAAAAAAAAAAAAAAAAAAATCAGAGTTCCCAAATTGAATGACCCAATCCAAACATGGGCATCCTATATTGATATAGGGGAAAAAATGATCTCAGTGGACAACCTTCAAATGATATAAAGGAAAAATGAAACTCCCAACCTGAAAGATGCTTGGGATGAGTTCGCGTTCTCCAAAACCGAAGAATGAATTTTAGAAACAAACAGAGGCTATGAGCAGTGTGTATGTATATATTATTTTGTTATGTTATGTTATGTTATGTTATGTTATGTTATGTTATTTATTTTTTTGTGGAACCGGGGATTGAACTCAGGTCCTTGCGCTTACCAGGGAAGTGCTTATTCCACTGAGCCATCTCCCCAGCTCCCAGAATATATTTTATTGGAGGGGGGAAGCTCCTGTCCGAGAGAAGGACAGGAGGGGGCCCCCCAAGTGGGTGGTCCCTGGAGAGGTTTCTCTTCCAGGGACTTTTATAAAGTAAAACCATGCGGTGCGGTGGGTCTAAGGTGGTGGAGAACATGGGAACTTGCTTAGGTGTGCATGAGGTGCGACAAAACTATGGTCAGCCAATGAGATTACAAGCACTATTGCTCAGGTAAAATTGATTAAATCCAGGACCAGGGGCTGGGGAGATGGCTCAGTAGAATAAGCGCTTGCCTGGCAAGTGCAAGGACCTGAGTTCAGTCCCCATTTTCAAAAAAAAAAATTAAATCTAGGACCAAATTGGGAAGCAAGAGTAGTAAGTGGGCATGAATACAGGACTGGGTCTCTTCCTGTTGGGGCTTGGGTTAGTGACTTATTTGGGCTCTTTCAAGGTGATTGATACCAATTTAGAATATCAATCCCTGAAGCCCATCCCTAGGGAAGTATGCAGCTGTGCTTCCTCTTTTGTCTTGAGGTCTGGCCCATATGGGAGTGTCTCTCTTCCAAGTTGCAAAGTCACCTTATCTTCCATCTTGTCTCCTTGAGGGCCTGGTCCTGTCTGACTGCCTATAACATTTCTATCTAATTCAGCTGCCTACAACAATATGAATACACACTTTTCAGATGAAGAAATACATACAGCCATAAAACATGAAAAAACTGATCAAAATCACTGATCATTTGAGAGATGCAAATTAAAACAAAAATCAGACTCCATCTCACCCCATAGAATACCTATCATAAAGAAATCAAGGGTCGGCCAAATAGCTCAGCGGATTAAATCACCTGCAAGCAGGCACAGGGGCTGGGGGTTCAATCCCAGGGCCTGCTGTGCCGACCCGCATGCTGAGACAGCAATTAAGACTGGGCATGGTGGTGCTTAATCCCAAGTCTTGGGAGGCTGTAAACAGGCAGATCACTATGAGTCCAATCTAGTAGTGAGATGCTGAACACTCTGAAGACCCTTCTCTAAAATACAAAAAAAAAAAAAAGAAAGAAATCAACTAACAACAAATGCTGGAGAGGCTGTGGGGAAAACGGAATCCTTCTCCAGTGGTGGGAGTGTAGCCTGGTGCAATCACTGTGGAAATCAGTGTGGAGATTCCTGAAAAAAACTAGGCTTGGAGGTCTCATTTGACCCAGCTATGCTCCTTCTGGGTATCTTCCCAGAAGAATTAAGAACATCATACTACAGAGATATACATGCACCCATGTTTATATCAGGACAGTTTGTAATAGCTAGAGCTATGGAAAAATCCCAAATGCCAATCATCCAAGGAATGGATTACAAATGATGTGACCTTGTTATACAGTGGAATACTACTCAACCATAAAGGATAAACTGGAGACTATTATGATAAATGGATGCAACTCAAGACCATACTCATAGGGAAATAAGCCAGACATACAATGTGTATTGTCTCCCTAGTGTGAGAAGCTGAAAGAGTAAATAAAATCCAAAATGTGCAACAGATATTGTAAAATGGGAAGAAACTTCAAAAGGAAAGTGAAACTGGGATGGGGAAATGGAGAAAAGAAGCGGAAAACAAAACTAATATATATATATGTTATGTTACTAATTTAGTACATTGAAAAGATCTATGCTAATATTGTTTTGTGTGTGCTAATATTGTTTAAGAGAAATAATTGCAGATACCTTGTATTCCAAGTAAATAATTTAAAGATAACAATGCATAATGTGTTAACCATTGTTACTCACCTTTTATCTTGTTTTGAAATCGTTTTATGTTTTTTTCTCTTTAAATAAAAAATCAGCTGGGGAGATAGCTCAGTAGAACAAGCGCTTGCCTGGCAAGCACAAAGTCCTGAGTTCAATCCCCAGTACCGCAAAATAAATAAATAAATAAATAAATAAATAATCAAAATGCAAAAACAAAAACAAAACCAAGCCAACTTAAAACTAACCATACAACCTCCATAAAACTCAGCAACTGCATTTGTGACCATTTACCTGAGAGAAACGAAAACCTAAATTCACATAAAACCAGCACAAGAACATGGGTAGCCTTTTATTCATAAGAGCCAAAACCTAGAAATGACTCAGATGTCTTATGGGCAACATGGTTAAACACATGGCTTAGCAGTACGAATAGTCAATGAGTTACAAAGACAGCAAAGGTCTACCTGGGTCTCCAGATTCATGCTGAATGAAAACACCAGCCTCAAAGGTCACAGAGTATGATTCTATTTACATGATATTCTGGACTGAATAGTTTCCATATAAGTGGCTACCAGGACACAGAGTGACATGTGACTATAAAGGGTGACAGCCTGTGCTGAGGGTAGTATCTGGTTGTAATACTACACCGTATTGTTTTAAAAAATGTTACTCAGGGGGACCTGGGTGAAGTGTATATGAGTTTTCTGTTTACTTACCATAACTGCATGTGGTCTACAATGGTCTCAAAATAAAACATTTAATCAAAAAAACCCTGAGCTGGATTAAATGATCTCTGTATCTTTCAGCTCTAAGATTGTGTTTTCTAGGACAGGGCAGGAAAGAGGAGATGAGGGAACACAAAGGGGGAAGGAGCACAGAGAGAGGGAAGGAAAGACAGGAGGTAGCAGAGGTAAGCTGGAAAGTGCAGCCTCCCAGAGGGCAGCCTTCCAGAGGGCAGCCTCCCAGAGGGCAGCCTCCCAGAGGGCAGCCTCCCAGAGGGCAGCCTCCCAGTGGGCAGCCTCCCAGAAGGCAAAATACTAGACACCCTTCTAGGGAGCTACTCAGAGCGACCACCAGAGTCTGCCTTCAGTGGTCACAATTATTTTAAGTCTTTCTGTTATGTCAAAAGTTATGAAGTTTAAATGATCAAGATAAAACCAGCTTCTCATTAATCGATTAAGTGCTGATCAAGTACAGCACTCATTAGCCGGCCTTTACCTCTAGACCTGAGGCTGGTTAACACCTGGTTGCTGTACAATTTCACAGACATACTCTAACATATTTTTAGAGACTCTTTATAATAATTCAAATTGTTATGGATTGTGTATGGTGTCTCCCCAAAGCCTCACGCAGTCATGGGGCAGCTAATTTGCATTACAGTGCAAGGAGGGAAGAGAGGCTAGCTAGCTGCCAGAGCTGCTGCCACTCCTTCATTTTGCTCTCTGCCATGTGCTACTCTGCCTTGGAGCCAGCTGAGTATGGCCTGAAACCTCCAGTAACTGTGAGGTAAATAAACCTTTCTTTCTTTCATTTTGCATGTCAGGTATTTGTCCCAACAATGAGAGAAAAAGTAACCAAGACACAAATGTTAAATTTTACCTCTGATCACTTCCTTAACTTTTCTCAGGGACAGGAAGAATTTGAAAGTCCAAGAGAAGGTCATCAGCATAAAGAGCTATAAAAGCTATGAATGAATGCAAAAAATAGAAAACCAGAGCCTCAGAGTTACATAATGACTACATTAGTGTGATTTTAAGCCCACCAGGGCACTCCTTGAGTCAAAACCCACCATGTTAGCCATGAGCAGCTGTAGCCTCTCCTGGTGTTGAGGGGTGCTCTGTGAGCCTTTAGATGGCACCCAGAGGGCAGAATCTGGATGGCTGCAGGCACCTCACAGACCCCTGCACTGTGAAGACTCCCTATTCCTCCTGTCAGCCTCTACTTCCTCTATAATCAACTTGTTGAGCTAGGCAATCCAAGCACACAAAAGGATCACTACCCACAGAGGGTGGTTTTTGCTATTCTTCCATTCAATTTTTCAGTTTCTCGTAGTTTTCAGTGCCAACACAGTGTGTGAGACACACAGTATGTGAGGAAAATTTTACAATCACCTCCATATCAATGGTCTTAATTATGGGTAGAGACACGAGTCACAGGCTTGGGTGTTGTAAATCTGCTTGAGTGGGGGCTGGTGAGATGGCCCAGTGGTCTAAAGCACCTACTTAGAACAAGCTTAGCAAAGCACAAGGACCGAGGTTCAATCCCCCAGCACCACATGCCAGCCAGCCCCGCCCCCTGGTGGGCTGAGCTGGCCACACACACACACACACACACACACACAAATAAAATTTTAAAAAAATTTGCTTGAGTGGTGACGATCCCAGCAGTCAACTCACATGAGGGGATTTCTGGCCAGGTGGGGCAGAGCTTTCATGGGCAAAGTCTCCCAAAGACAGACTTCCCAAATAGTAAACACACATCCCAATAGGATTTCTTAAGCCTTGTTTTTCTTATCAGTCCTGAAAAGGGCAACCAAGCCAAGGGAATCTAGAGCCCTAAAGCCATGGATGGGAGCGAACACTAAAACCTATTCCAAACACAAAATGCTTCCACTTGTCTTAATCATTACAATATGCTGAGGTAGGTATGATTAGTCATTGCCAGGGACAGGCAAACTGAGGCTCAGGAAAGTATATGCTCAAGAGTCACAGTATGGGATAAAGCTGAGCTGTACCTGTCCGGTTCCAAAGCCACAGGCTACAGATGCCAGGCCCCTGCTGTCCCAAGCAGGGTTCTACACTTTTAGCCCAGAAAACACAAATGTCATAAAGACTATGACTTACGAAAAGCTGCCAGCCCCAGCATTGGTACCAACAAGGCATAATTCCACTTGCTTCCATCACCCCCATCAGCTCTGGAGTTAGGCCGAATGTTCCAATTTGGAGGCTCATTTAAGTTATTCATGGAGATATACCTTGAAAAACAGAAGGAAAAGTATTAACTGGATAAAGAGAATAAAATAGAGCCAACATGATTTCACCATCTACTATGGTCATTTGGGTCAGTCATTTTTATTAAAAAATTTTTCAGCTCCACCTATGTGCTGCACAACAATGAGTTCTATGTATTTTCAAGAAAAAAATCCTCACTAATGGGGTTAGGACACATTTCAAATAAGTGATCAACAGGCATTAAGTCCTCTAGCATGTTTAAATATGTATGGTTGTTGTGGTGAATTTCTTTTTTGGTACAAGGAACTGAATTCAGGCCTCATGCTTGCCAGGCAGGTGCTGGACCATTGAGCCACACCTCTGGCCCTGTGGTGGTGAATTTTATGTGTAAACTTGACTGTGCCATGACATGCTCAGATACTTGGTTGAACATCATTCTAGATGGGTCTGAGAAGTGTTTTGGATGAGATTACTATTTGAATTCTCATATCAGTTTCTTAGAATAAATCAAGTGTTCATTCACCCCAGCATTCTGGAGGCTAGGGATCGCTTCGAGTTTGAGGCCAACCTGGGCTATACAGAGAAGACTCTGTAGATTCCCCCGAATTACACAGTGAGATCCTGTCTCAAAAAAACTCAAAAATAAATTAAATGTTCTTACCCTTGTGTGTGCCCCTTTCCAATCATGTGTGCACATGTAACCCATAACATCATTTTAGTTGAAGAAGGACCACATATAGACCAATGGTTCCCTAAGATTGTATGGCTTAAGTGCAGGTGTAGTGGCAAGCCCAGCCTGAACAATTTAGCAAGACTCTGTCTCAAAAACTCTTAGAAAGGGCTGCAGTGTGGCTCAGTGAGAATGCTCTGAGTTTAATCCCCACTACTGCAAAAAAGGGGAGGAGGGCTCTTATGATCTAGTAATGTCATAGCCAACTCAGAATGCCTAAGCATACACTAAGGTATTCACACAAGGTCAAAATCCTCATCAACATATTTCTCAGATGGTACCTGTGTTGTTAAGCAAGGAATCACTGTTTATATTTTTCTTTGTCTCTTACTGGTTTTTTTCCCTCCTGAACTAATCTAACACAGCTAAAAGTAAGTTCACACTAGACATACTGATTCATAAGAGCAAGCTTTCAAAGAACAAGCAATATTCTAACAGGCAAGGTGTTAAAGGAAAGCATTTTCTGAGCAGAAAGTGTGAGGAAGGCAGGAAGGACAGAGGCCTTGGATGAAGGGAGGGGCACTGAGGACTTCTTAGGTCCCCTGACAAGGCAGTTACAAACAAGATCACAGAGGTTCTTGTATCAGGCCCAGACGACACACCCAAACCTCGTTGAAGGCCAAAGTTACTATGAATCTACTAGTTCACTAAGTACCCATGCTATCTGAGTGTTTCCACAAAGCAGTCATGATGGCTTTCAGCTTGCTTGTGTGTAGCAACCATAAAGACACCAACCACAAAATCACTGTGATGCATCTAAGAAACAAAGAATTCAAATTTTGAAAAACGAACAGGTTTCTAAATACTTAACACCTAAAAATATAAAACTATGATAGGCAATAAAGATATACCAAATATATGGCTCAGAACACATTAGGGGGTTTGTGGTAGCAACAGAATTTTAAAAATTAAGTAGTACCTAATTTAGAAAGCACTAAATTTGCTTAACTTCCAAAGAAGTCTAGGGAGTATGGTTATCCTTCTGTATCCATGGGGATAGACCGCTGGATACAAGAATCCCTCAGATACTGAAATCTTAATATACTCAAGAGTCTTCCGTGAACTGGTGTAGCATTTGTATGTAACCTACCCATTTACTATTATTTGAGTGATTGTGATACCTAATAATTACATGTATTTATCATGTCTTGTTCATGCTTACACCTCTTTTCATCTGCTCTCCTCTCTCCATCTCCATATCCTCTTCCCGCCCAGTCGACTTCCGTTTCCTATCATCTCTTTTATTTTGCTCTTTAAATTACATTACGCCCAAATATTTTAAATCACCCCTATATCCCGCAATACTTGATACAATACAAATGCTATGCAACTAGTTGTGCTATATACTAGAGAACTAACAAGATGAATAAGTCTTCAGTTGATCAGCAGTTATCATTTGTCCCCCAAATATTTTTAATCTTCAGTTAGCTGAATTTGCTGACGCAGAGCCCATCAATACAGAGGGCCAGCTGGTGGTTATGCTTGCTGCTTCCAACCAGTAAAGCCCATCTGCCATACATATAGCTTAAGGAAATGATCCTAAAAATAAAGTTTTGTGCACAAATAAATTATACCCTTATTTACTGACAGCAAAAACTGGAAACCACAAACATCATTAAAATGGGACTAGTGGGCCGGCGAGATAGCGCAATGGTCTAAAGCTCCTGTTTAGGCGAGCTCAGGCAAGTGCAGGGACCACTGATCCCTGGCACCACATGCCCCACCCCCAGGGTGAGATGAGCCAGCCACACACACACACACACACACACACACATTTTAAAAATGGGGCTTTATTGTAAACTTATACCTCATAATTAGGTTCGTAACAACTGTGCAAGATTTTAATAATCTAATGTTATGGGTACTATTTACGATTATCGACATATTTTCATGACACTATTATTCACTTTATTTCGGCTCTCGTACAAAAATACACACAAATATTTGCTAAAATCACGCACGACAAATCAGGGCAAACTTGCAAAAACGTATGCAAGCCGTGATCTATGAGGTTTTAAGCGTCCCAGTAGTTAAAGCCAAAAGGGAACGTTTTAGATCTAGTCCGTCAGCGTGCCCGCCTCCTCCGCGGCCCAAAACAACCAAGCCCACCAGCGCCGGAAGTCCGGGGATGGAGGCAAGCGGGATCACTTCCGCCCACACTAAAGTCCAGGGCGGGGCGGGGGGGCACGCCCTGGGATCGCTCCCTCCCAAGAGTCATCCCGCCCACTCCTGAGGCCGCCCCTCTAACTCCATCGCCCACGGTCGGAATCTTCAGACTTCCCCCCGGCCTGGCAACCCTGGGAACCACCCAGGGAGTTGTTAAAGATAGGGGTGCTCGACTCCTCCTCGCAGCAGAGCCCAATTAGACTGACCTACCTCAGCCTGACCGCGGGCTCTCCCGGACCCTGAGCAGTCCGAGGATTCTCTCTGCGCAGGTGCAGCCTCCGTCGTCCGACCGACCCCGGCGCGGCGTGGTGCGCACGCGCGTAACCCTTCCTCCCCCGTCCGCCGGGACGGGACCTGACGCGCAGGCGCGGGATCTCTCGGCGGCTCGCGGGCCTAGAGTGGCGCGCAGGCGCGTTCCGGCGCGGGGTCTGGCCGGTCGGTGCGGACATGGCGGGGGTCGGAGCTGTTTCGCGGTTTCTGCACGCGCGGCGGCTAGCTCTGTCCCGGGCGGTGAGTTGGAGCCACGGGAGGGCGGGGTCGTGGCGGAGGCCCGGGCTTGGATCGCCTCTGGGGGCGCCTGCAGAGTTCTGCGACCCCCTCCCGATCGGAGGGGCTGGAAGATTCCGAGCCCCGGCGCCCCTGCGTTGCGGACCCGCCTTGCACCGGTGAGGGTGGCGACTCGCGGCCGCCCCGCGGCACCCCTGCCCCGCTCGGCCTGGGCCTGGAAACACAGTCGGCCAAGGTCACGCGCGGAAGGGGCCGGACGGCGGGGCGCAAGGGAGGAACCTTTATTTGGGGATGTGATGGCCTCGGTGCAGTTTCTTGCAAGTAGGAAACACAAGCACAGTGACCGCTGCTAGATAGTAAGTGCGAGTTTTGCCCGGGAGTCCCAGCTAGGCGTGCAGCCTTCGGGAGAGTGAAGGTCGCACCATTCCCAGAGACAGCTGATCGTGTCTGAATGCGCCTTCCACATGGCTAGCGTTTATCTTTTAGAATTTTATTTAAGCAAACTGAATTTGGATAGTTTTGTTATTTGGTTTTTTTCAGGTGAACCGGCCCACCCACCTACTTACCAATTTAATTGCAAAGTCCCAATAAGAGCCAAGGCTCTTAAAAGTAGTGACTTGCATTAGGCACGTAATTATAACTGCAATTTTCTCTTTTTTTTGAAAAAGATGTCTAAATTACGTTCAATTAAATGGGAAAATTAGTTGACAGCCATCCTTAAACGGAGAGCCTGTGGGCTCCTAGGACACTGCAAGAACTAAGCCTGCTCCTTAGGACTTGACTGTAGATGGATCGGCTGTAATTGGTGCAAATATGCCATTACTCCCAGCTGGTGCCTGGTAGCCCTGTGTACCAAGGCTGGAATAGAAAAAATTCTAGCGCTACAGTAATGAAAACATCATGGCACTGGCAGGTAATCGGACTTTAAGATCAGTGGAACAGATTAGATAATGCAGAAACAACTCTAAGCACATATGGCTGTCATAGCTTTGACGAAGGGGCTAGACATTTTCACTGGAAGAAAATATTTTCGTTAATACACAGCGCTGGGAAGACTGGCTTTCCACATGGACTAAGTGGCTTTCACCATGCAGTAAGCTAGAACTGAAATGGGTTAAAGCAGAAATAATCTGCTAGAGGATAGGATAAGCACTAGGGATATAGCTCAGCACTACACCTTCCCTGCAAGCCTGAGGTCATGCATTTGATTCCCAGTGAAAAATAAATAAATTAAAAAAACCCACTGAGATAGAATAGGTAGAAAACATAGGTATAGCCAAAGACATTATAAACAAAAACCTTGATTGCACAGGAAATATCATGAAGAATCAGCAACTGGGATCACATTAAGCTTTTGAATGGGAAAGCAAAACCACCAACAAAATGAGACAATCCATAAAATGGGGAAAAAAAATTTTCCCATTTACTCCTCAAAGGACTGATACCTAGAGTAGACAGAGAACTCAAAGAAAGATCAGAGCCCATGAATGTAAACATCTAATTTAAAAAATGGGCATCTAAAATGGATAGACACTTCTAAGATGAAGTACAACAAATAATACAAAGAAGTGTTCAACATCACTGGTCCTTTGTGTAATACAAATTAGAAGAACATGGAGATTCTGTCTCATAAAAGAGTGGCTTTCAGGGCCAGGGAGATGGCTGAGTAGACTAAGCACTTGTGTGGCAAGCGTAAGGGCCTGAGTTCAATCCTTGGTTCCACCAAAAAAAAAAAAAAAAAAAAAAAAAGTGGTTTTCATCAACAAATCAGTAGCAAATGCTAGTGAGGCCAGGGAGAAAAAGGAGCTCTTAAGTTGTTGTTGGGAGTGTAAATTGGTACAACCTCTGTGGAAATCAGTATGCACATTTCTCAAAAAACTGAAACTATAATCCATTTGACCCAGCTAGTCCCTTTCTAGGTATCTTCATGAAAGACTTAAAAGCATACCACGGTGATACATGTCTACCCATGTTATTTATAGCAGCACAATTTATAACAGCTGAATCTTGTAAACAGCTCATGTACTCATCAATGGGTAAATGGATAAAGAAAACATGATTTGCATATCCGTTACTACTGCTGACATAAACTTGAGACACTTTTAGGTAAATGGATGGACCTCGTGAAACAAATGAGACACACAGGTTTACCTCATTGTTTCTCTTAGGTGAGAAACTGAAAGGGTAGATGAGTAAAATAGAGACTAGATATTGGAAGTAGGAAGAACATGTTCAAATGGGAAGGGGACAAGAAGAGAAAAATGATTTTAATAAAGGAGTGAAAGGAAAAATGGAAACAGCTTTTATAAATGGGGAAGGGAATGGAGATAGCTCAGCAGACTAAAACACCTGCTTAGGCAAATGCAGGGACCTGAGTTAGATCAGGGTACCACATGCCCTGCTGGCCCTGCTCCTGGGCGCGCAGTGGCAGGTGGCAGCGTGGTGGTGCATGCCGGTAATTCCAGCGGTTGGGAGGCTGAAAATGAACACTACAAGGCCAGTCTGTGTAGTGAGACCCTGTAGACGCTGTACTAAATACATTTAAAAAAAAAAAAAAAAAATGGGGAGGGGAAGAATGGTGAAGGGAAGGGCAAAAATCAAGTTATATCTTGTATGGGACAAATTCCCTATGATAAGTGTTATCATTGTATATGACAGTTTCTAAAAATAAAAGAGCCAAATCCTTCCACCCCAAAATAAAACTAGCTCTGAGCTTCTAAATGAAAGGGAGACTAAATAAGGTTCCAAGTACAAGAAATCAGGATGCCTACGTTTTGTTCCTTTCCTCATGGCCTACGTCATTATGAGAAGTGATCTTTTTCAACCTTTAGTTTTATTGGCTGTTAGCTGCCAACATTTAATGTGTGTTATCTTTGTAGATCTTCACAACTGTCCTTTGGTTATGTACCTGTAAATAAAGTGGTACGATAGAGATAGCAAGTGAGTCATGGCTGTCGACCACAGGCTGTGAGGTATGAACCTGGGCTCAGAGGAGCGCTACCAACTTTCAGAGTGTAAATATGGTCTTGACTTTTTAAGAAGTCTTTCCATTGATGAGGATAACTTTTCTTGTAGAACTTATGTCCCCAAGCAGTGTATTTATTGGTATTTAGTAGTCACTATTTCTTCTGAAAAACTAGAGTTAACGAAGGAACCAAAGAATCAGTTAAGGGCCGGGGACATGGCTCAGAATAAGTGCTTACCTGGCAAGCGCAAGGGTCTTGAGTTCAATCCCTGGTTCTGCCAAAAAAAAAAAGGAGAATCAGATAAGCAGAAAAAAAGTTTTTGCTAACTGAGAAAGGTCTTTGGAAAGTAGCTGCCAATAATTTTGATGAAGTCTGCAGAGAATGTTTTGACATTTTAGACAGTCCTCTGGGTATTTTCCATTAACAACTGCTTTCAAGTTTCCAACCTACCAATTTTCCTTTGTGTTCATGATCCTGGTGATACAGTTCAAAAACTAAAGCATTTTAATCCAGAGTAAAATTAAAACCAAGAACCTTATTATTTGTTAACTGTTCACTGCCAATGAAGTTTTAAAACTTGAAGAAAAAAATGTACAAAATATCTTTCTAGGATAAGTCACTTCCTTTGAATGAATTGTTCTGAATGTTTTATGGTATGGTATATCTAGAATTGCATTAGTAAATAGTAATGTTTTGTTTCACTTTATTTTTATTTTTTGTTTATTTAGTACAGGGTCTACAGGGTCTCACTACATAGATCAGACTCATAGTGATTCTCCTGTTTTCAGCCTCCCAAGCACTGGGATTACAGGCATGCATCACCATGCCCAGTCTCTTGTTTCGCTTTAGGATCATAACACCAGCAGCATTTACTTGCATTCTGTGCATCATTTACCAGGTTCATTTGAAAAACTGACATTTTTTTTTACATAAGTAGGATTTTAATATTAGTTTGAAGTCTCTCAGAATTTTTCCGAAGGTTCTGTACGTAGTGAGGAAGTTAAGTCCCCTGACCTTCAGTTTTTTCTTGGAGTACACTCTGAAAGTTGGTGATGCTCCTCTGAGCCCAGGTTCATAGCTCACAGCCTGTGGTCAGTATCTGTGTGACTTGTATTTTAAGCATTCCTTTTCAAATGAAAATAATTGTACATATTTGTAAAAGGAAAGCAATAATACAGAAAGCTTATAAATGAAAAGCTTATAAATGAAAACCACTCTGTCTAGCAATGGGAACAGATCTGAATAGTTTCATTGACCTCTGGTATTTATAATTATTTCTCCAGCCAATAATGAGCTTTTCAATTTTTATTTTTATTAATACATGCTTGTAGTGCATAGTGATCACATTTCTTTTGGGAAGGTAGTACAGTTATGTAACACATCTTACTGCCCTTTACTTATTCCTTCTTCCCTCCATCTTTTGGTCAGTTTCCCATTAGCAAAAGATCTGTCTCTTCACATCCTATTATCTTTTATTTTGCCCTTTATTTATAATATGAGTTTCTTATATGAAAAAGCATGTGATATTTAAGATTATGTGGCTGATTTATTTCATTTGATGTGGGGGCATTGGCCAGTAGAAAAAGAGACTTTGGAGCCACACACCCAAAAACCACCTCAGAGGTTAGAGATTGAAAAATAGCCTTCAGGGTTACAAGGCCGAGTAGGATCCAAACTCATTGCCCTGAGGAGTAAATGCTCAGGGACCAGGGTTTAATCCCTGGGGTGCATTACCTGCCCTGCCCCCCCGAGGAGTGCTGAGACAGTGATTGAGACTGGGCATGGTGGCACATGTCTGTAGCCTCAGCTCTTGGGAAAGAAGAAAAACCTAAATTGCAGAGATCTGTTTCTGCCTCAGTCTCTTTGCCTTTGCTTGAGGCAGTTTAGCCACCTAGCCCTGTCCTGAGTCCCTGCACCTCATCAGGGAATCTGTTTGCTTTATATTGCCAAATTTTCTTTGTAATCTCCAGTAGTTTGACCTACGGATTTTTTTTTTTTTTTTTGAATTTTTCTTTCTCCCCACAGAATACAGTGTCTTCCAAATTGCAGAATACTGGAAGACTTCTTTCATCTCCACTCTTCTAATTGCTAAAGTACTTATATCTTAATCACTTACCAGTTTACTCCAAGTGTCACTTCAGGTAGCACATTTGTTTATGTACTGCCTATTCTGAGCATTACTCAGGCAGGTGCCATTTCAACTAGTGGATTCTTTCATTGAATACTGGATAAAATTGTTCTTTTTTATATTTATTGTATATAGTTATAAAAATTAACGAGAAATGCAATTTTTGGTCATCCTATATTTAAATAGTTAATGGTAAGTGGTTAAAACCATTCTTTAGGCTGTTCCTCAGCCTCTCCCTTTTATTTTGGACTTTTATTTTATTTTATTTTATTTTTTTGTGACGGAACCGGGGATTGAACTCATGCCTGTGCGCTTGCCAGGCAAGCATTTATTCTACTGAGCCATCTCCCAGCCCCTTATTTTGGACTTTTAAAATACAGCCGGCAAAATAAAAAGCATATACCCCAACAGCAGGCCAGTCTTAGCAAATGAAGAGTATTGTTCTGTCTTACATTAGACTACAGTTGTTGTTAAGTAGTGGGGGTTGCCAGGAAAAAGTCAGGGCAGTCACTCAGAGAGCAGCACCAGGGAGCGGACTGTGCTGAAGCTAGATGTGGGCTGAGGCCAGGGTGCAAGCTGAGGGGATGACACCAGTCCTTCCTCTGAGCTTGACAGCTTTCTTTAAGTGTCAGAAAAAGCAGCAGCTCATTTCAGGATAGAGATCTCCTGATGTACTGTCCGGTGCCCTTTCCAACAGCTGCCAGGTCTCAGACATTCAGAGCTCCAGTGGAAGGACTAAAATGGAGCCAATAAAGATGCTTTATTATTTTCAAAGTAAAGTGAGACATAGATGTCTTTCCCACTCTCCGTTAAGTGAGGTAAAATAAGATGCTGCAGATTACCTATGCTTGCAATCCCTATTACTCAGCAGGCTGAGGCAGGAGGATCCCTAGGCCAGCCTACACAATGTAGCAAGGATGGAGGGTAGAGGGAGGTTTAGGGCTGTAGCTTAGTGGTAGAGTGCTTGCCTACCATGTGGAAGGCCCTGGGTTCAATCACCCCATCTAGCATTAGAAAATAAGTACTGCAGAGAAAATGCAGGTTTCATTTCTGAGTGCCCTATTCTTGGAGTACCAGGCTGGGATATAGTTGCCTGGAGGCTTAACACTTGGGTCTGCCCTTCAGGGTGGGGCTCCAGGGGAACTTTTTTTTTTGTACTGGGATTGAACTTAGGACCTTGCACTTGCCAAGCAGGCATTTAAGCTGCTGAGCTATCCCAGGGGAACTTTAGAAGAATAAGGGCAACAAGGTACACAGATAGGTTAGTGATTTAGAAGGACAATTTTGGGAAAACTTAGTTCTCTTCCCCATCTTGCAAGATGGTGGGTAAAAAAACTGAGAAGCCAGACCCTGAAGAGAAGAAACCCAAAGCCAAGAAGGCTTCTGCCAATAGTACTGGTAAAAAGGGTAAGGTGAATGCAAAAAAAAGTCCGAGAAGGGGCAGCCCCACTGCAGCCGAAATCCTGTCCTGGGTAGAGGAATTGGTAGATACTCCCAATCTGATATGTATTCCAGAAAGGCTTTGTACAAGAGAAAGTAAGCAGCTGCTAAATCAAAAGTTGAGAAGAAAAAGGAGAAGAAAGTTCTTGCTATGATCATAAAACCGGTCAGTGGGGACAAGAATGGAGGTACCAGGTGGTTAAGCTTTGAAAAATGCCCAGATACTACCCTACTGAAGATGTGCCCCGAAAGCTCTTGAGCCATGACAAGAAACCCTTCAGTCAGCATGTGCAGAAACTTCGAGCTAGCATCACTCCTGGCACCACCTTGATCATCCTCACCGGGCGTCACAGAGGCAAGAGAGTGGTCTTCCTGAAGCAGTTGGCCAGTGGCTTGCTGTTCATGAGCGGGACTCAGCCTTAACTATGTTCCTTTATGAAGAACACACCAGAAATTTGTCATTGCCACCTCTACAAAAATTGATATCAGCAAAGTGAAAATCCCCAAACACCTCACAGATGCTTACTTCAAGAAGAGCCCGCAGAAACGCAGACACCAGGAGGGCGAGATCTTCGACACTGAGAAAGAGATACCAGATTTCAGAGCAGCGCAAGGTGGATCAGAAAGCGGTGGACTCGGATTTTAGCAAAAGTCAAAGCTGTTCCTTAGCTCTGGGGCTTACTGTGATCATTTTTTGCACTGACAAATGGAATTTATCCTCATAAATTAGTGTTCTAAATTTGTAAGAACTAATTAATTGATACGTTTTTTTAAAAATTGAAGGACAGTTTTAATTGTTCCTTTCTGCTTCTATTCCTTTAAGGCACTACTGTCATCTGTGTCTCACCAATGGCCAGCAGCCTTCCAAACACCGGCCCGTGGCTTTCACTTCACTGTTGATGGGAATAAGAGGGCGTCTGCTAAAGTTTCAGATTCAGTAAGTTTATGGCTCTTTCCTCCATCATCAGTACCTTTCTTGACTTAGATGGGTAATAATCTATTCCAGTTTACTTTAATGTTTTCTTTGGTTTATTGTGTTTTGTCTTTTTGAGATGCGGTCTCACTCTGCAGTTCAGGCTGGCCTTGATCTCACTTTGTAGCCTGAACAGATCTCAAACTTGGAACAATCCTCTTGCCTCAATCTCCCTCAGCCTCCCAGAGCTGGGATTACAGGTGTGTGCCACCACGCCCAGCTTAATGTATTTAAAGTATTGCATATATTTAAAGAAAATTCCCCTTGGCATTCATTGCATGCTTAAATTTTATTGCAGTAATATTTAGTTGGTTGGGCGTGGTGGTGGTGGTGCTCGTGTCTAATCCCAGCATTCTGGAGACTGAGATAAGATTACTATAAGTTTGAGACCATCCTACCTTAAAACCAGTCTGAACTACATAGTCACAACCTGTTTCAAAAAAACTGTACTACAAATACAAGGATATTGGCATTTTTTTGCTTATAGCTCTTAATCTATAGTTTATTATTTTTATTTTTTTTTAAAGTTTATTTATTGTGTGTGTGTGTGTGTGTGTGTGTGTGTGGCCAGCTCAGCCCACCAGGGGGCGGGGCTGGCATGTGGTGCTGGGGGATCGAACCGCGGTCCCTGTGCTTTGCCAAGCTTGTTCCAAGTAGGTGCTTTAGACCACTGAGCCATCTTGCCAGCCCTATAGTTTATATTTTAAATCAAAAAAAAAAAAAAGAACAATATTCACTGTGATGGCTGATGGATTCTTCATTCTGAATAACATTGTAGCTGGGAACAGTGGTGCATGCTTGTAATCTCAGCACTCAGGAGGCTGAGGTAGGAGGATTATTGCAAATTTAAGGCCAGCCTGAACTACATAGTGAGACCCTGAAAGAAAAATGAGTAAGACTATATAGCCACCTCAGTGTAAGTTTTCCTGTTTAGTGGGCATGTTCTGTTCTGTGTTTTTTAAAAAGAGACTTGCTTAGAAGTTCTTATTTCATAAGCTTACAGTAGTTCCTGGGTACCACTTAATACCTTCTTAGTCATTAATCAGGCCCTTAGAGGATGTGCCTGATGGAGGTTTGTGGCCTGCAGCCAGGTGAATTATATATTATGTGCGTATCTAAACAAAAGCAGCATTGTACTATTTCCACAAGAAACCTAGTTAGCTTTGATATATTTTAAGCTTATACTTGTTTGAGCATATCTGTTATGGTTAGAGATGCAGACAGAAAAGATGGTACTGGGGAAGAGAAAACATACTTAGAGCAGGAGTATTGATCATATTACTGTTTTCTTCTGCTTTGGTTGGCAGAATTGAGAGATGGCGGTCTTGAGCATTGGTTCAGCTAATGGTGTATTTCCTAGTGTTTAGAGCAGACCCTCTGCCATTCATGAAATCTGATTCTTGGTCCCTTTTCCACACGAGACTGTGTGGGGAAAAGGGACCAAGATCCCTGTATGGGTGTTCAGCCCTGGAGCAGGATGCAAACCCTCTGCATAGTACTTGCTCTTTCCTTTTGGATATTGACCTAATTTTCTTCAGGCTCATCTGCAGTGGCTGCACCCTTAATGTTTGGCACAGTTGAATGTGTGGTTAACAGCTACATTTTCTTTTCCAGATTTCAACTCAGTACCCAGTAGTGGACCATGAATTTGATGCAGTTGTGGTAGGTGCTGGAGGGGCAGGCTTGAGAGCTGCATTTGGCCTTTCTGAGGCAGGATTTAATACTGCGTGCATAACGAAGCTCTTTCCTACCCGGTCACACACTGTTGCAGCACAGGTAAGACAAAGTGTTGATGCTTCAAGGTCCTACACAGTAAATAAAACTCCCTCTGCCCCACTGGACAGCTGTATTGACCTTAGTCAGCACCCATTCAGTTACTCTTACTTCAGGGTCACTTCCTTGAGTCTTTTCCTTGGGATCCTAGCAGGGCTGGTACATCAGACCAGCCCTCCTGCTGTCCCTCTCCCTTTTCCTTCCCACCACTTAACCTGGTTTGAAATGTACTTGCAGAAAATGGACCTGTTCTCTTGGTCACCTTTTTGTTACTGTGACGAGATAATGACCCTAACTGGAGGAGAAGTTTATTTTGACTGATGGTTTCAGAGGTTTCAGCCTGTGATCGTTTGTCCTGTTGTTTGAGGCCTGTGGTGGCACAGACCATCATGATAGAAAAGACCTGTCTACCTCATGGCGGTTGAGGGGAGAGAGAGGCAGAAGACAGACTAGGTCCTTTCCTCCTCTAAGAGCGCATTCTCAGTGGCCCAACTTTCAATAGTGCCCCCTTCTAAAGGTCTCAGTACCTCCCAATAGCACTGTGGGCTGGAGACCACCTTTAATAAAGCCTTTGGGGCTACCCAAGTTCTATAGTAGCTGTTACGTATGGATGGCTCAGGGTTTTGATAATGACATGGACATGCAGGGTAGAAAAACTGTGGCTGTGATGTAGAAAAGATATAAATAACCTGAAAATCTGTAGTGGTTCTGTGGTTTTCTTTTATTCTTGACTCGCTGTTGATAACACCAACCACATGGACAGGTAGCCTTCCAAAATCATATTTGACTGTCCTGGTATCAGGATTGTTTTCTCACAGGGAATATAGAGGCTTTCAGGAACCAGGAAAAGCACCACCTAACCTCAAGAGCAGCTCCAGCACAGACTTCAGGCACTTCACTACACAGATAACTTATTGTAAAGCCATGTGTAAGCAAAAGAATGAAGATGCCTTTGAAGTAATCTTGCTCTACAAGGAAAAGCAGCTGTTAATAGCTAATTCTAACTAATCGCGTGTGATAAGGCAACTCATGAGTAGTCTCAAGCTGGATTCCTGATTATCACTATGCCTCAGTGTCCCTCGTCAGTTATGATACCTTTCACCTCTCAGGATCGTCCGTAGCACGGAGTGCCAGCTCTTGCAAATGTTTGACCAAGGGAAGAGTAAAATCAGGTGGGTTCTCTGGAGATTTCAGCGAGAACTGTGAACTCGGAGACTAATCTGCACCTTGGTTTTCTTGGTGCTAAGTGACATAGTAGCTAGCATTGATAGTGTACATGCCATGCTGTGGCTTTTCTAAGTTTCAGCTAGCTCTGTATATTGCTATTATTGTGGAACTGAACTTTTACTTTTTGTTTTTTTGGTGGAATCGAGGATTGAACTCAGGCCCTTGCGCTTGCCAGATGAGCGCTTACTCTACTGAGCCATCTCCCTGGTGGAACTGAACTCTTTTTTATCAGGATCATCTTGGGTTTACAAGTGGAGGGGTGTAGGATGGAAAGAAAGTTAACTTTTGTTCTGTTGTCGTAACGTGTTTGCTCTGTGCTTCTGCCATCCTAACTGAAAGTGATAGGTTTTGTAACTGAGGACACTGAGGCATAATGATATTCAGTAAGGAATTCAGCTTGAGTTTGCTTGACTCGAAAGTTGTAATTGAACAACTGGAAAGAAGAGATGGAACGCATAAGATTAAGTTGTAGATTGCCTTTTTGTTGCTGTAAAAAAATACCCAAAGCTGGATACTATATAAAGAAAAGAGATTTGTGAAGTTCAAAGTTCTGGAAGCTGAAAGGCTAATATGAGGCATGCATTTGGGTCTCTAATGAGGGCCCCTTTTGCTCTTCTGTGATACTCTAGCTAAAACTACCCAGGGTCCCATGAGAAACGCTTCTGTCCCTTCGAAGGGGACAAGAGGTCACTATACCTCATAGCATCGTCACACTGGGAAACCACACATCCCACACATGAACCCTTAAAGAACACACTCAGATTGTATCAATGTGCTGTTACAAAAAAGATTAAAGAGTAGGAATCAGAATTGGGGAAGAAGAGAGTAAGGGATTCATTTGTCCCCGTACTGCCACATTCATTGGTTCCATAAAGCTAAGACAAGGTGCTGTCCGTATATAGCCAAGTAAGGTGCAGGATGTATGTCACACGAGCCTACAATTGCTATCAGAAACATTTTGTCATACAATTAACTGCTAAGTTTGTTGGGTGCGTTTGTGCCTCTTCCTCAGGCTTCTTGAAGGCCGTTAGACGGTCTGTGTCGTCTCCACGTCAGAGGGAGATTAAATAGCCAGGCTAATCAGAGGAAGAGTTGTGGCATGAGACCTGTTGAGCCTGCTGTCCCCCAGCCTCCCAGAGGGACACTGCACAAGGCCCTGAATCAGATTTTGGGGAGCTGAGGGCGGGAAGATACAAATGGAGCTCTAGTCATGGCTTACAAGGAACGTATGTATTTCCAGGGAGGAATCAATGCTGCACTGGGCAACATGGAAGAAGACAACTGGAGGTGGCACTTCTATGACACCGTGAAGGGCTCTGACTGGCTGGGGGACCAGGACGCTATCCACTACATGACAGAGCAGGCCCCTGCCTCTGTAATTGAGGTAATGTACCTGAAGCTCTTGGATCTTCTCAGGCACAGGCTGTTTGTAATATGAAAGAAGACCTAGAAAAAGATAGAAAGGAGGCTGAGTATGTTCCCTGGCACTTACTATAAAAAAGAAAAAATAGAAGGAATTGATTCACGTATAGTGAGCCATAGAATATGATAATGAGCCGAGCTAACGAGGAGAAGTTTCCATGTAAGTGTTCACAAAGTACCTAATGAGGAGACTTATTTCTAAAGTACTGATTTTTTTCGTAGAGTATCTTAGTTTGGGTTTTGTAGCTTTGTGTTAAAGTTGTTTAGGGAAAGTAAACCCTAAATATCTTTGTGTTTTTATAGTACCAGGCTTTTCATTTTTGTTTCACAGCTAGAAAATTATGGCATGCCGTTTAGCAGAACCGAAGATGGGAGAATTTACCAGCGCGCATTTGGTGGGCAGAGCCTCAAGTTTGGGAAAGGCGGGCAGGCTCACCGGTGCTGCTGTGTGGCTGATCGGACTGGGCACTCACTCCTGCACACCTTGTATGGCAGGGTAAGGTGTCTGCATCCAGGACATGGGGGGATGGTCTGGTCAGTCGCGGCCTGTGGTGACCATGGGAATGGCTGAGTGGAGATCAGGGGTCAGCCCGGGTGTTACTTAAAAATCAGTAGAGCATAACTATAAGACGTAATAATTGTTAATATGAAATTACTGACCATGCTATGAAAACTTCATATTGTTTTCCTTTGCCTGTTTTGGAAAATTGACTCTAATTGTTGCATACCAGCTTGGACTTTCTGATCACTGCACTCCAAGTATGGGAACAGCAGCGATGCTTAGGTTCTTCTGCCACTTCTGAGCTCCTAGTCTGACTCATTTGCTTTAATAATTTGCTTTAAAACTGGAGACTGAGTTGACGGCCAGCACTTAACAGACCCATTTTGGTATATCCAGATTATCAACATTCTTGATTTAACTCTATTAGTTTGCAGATGTGTGGGGCAATTGTTAGGACACCAGTGGTTTCTAGTGGTTGAATACATTGACAGTGTGGCAGGACCAGCCTGTCTTGGCATTGTCGTGTGGGGGCTGGCCGTTTACATTCATTCAGGGACCATTAGACCAGCACAGGGGGTGCTGTCCAGTGTTGACTGCTATGAGCTTGGAAATGGGGTTATTTGAACTGTCCCACTGGGTAGGCACTAGCCCTATGGCCATTGCCCTTGTGGCTAGTGTTGACTGAGAAGCTGAAATGAATGTTTTCTTTTCATTAACGAAGTTGCCACATGTAGCAAGTAACTCTGGTCTGTGTCTTGACCCTAGCCTCCCTGTGGTACCAGATTCTGAGGGCATTCAGTGCTGCATACAGCCAGGGGAGAAGTGGAATGCCTCTGAAGGTTGTGTGGAAATGAGGCGTGTGTTTCCACCAAGAGCAGTTGAGAGCTTGCTGTCAGCTCTTTGCACTGTTCATGCCTTTCGTGTAAGGTGCTAGAAGCTGAATACCTTTCTGTGCTTTTACACTGTCTTAGGGGCTGATTCCAGTGTGAGGTGCAGCTTGTGACTGTCACCCACAGAATCTCATTGTCTCATTGGTTAGCAACAGGCTTAAGTTCTTTGAGATTTTCACATGGTTTAGCCATTCACATTTTAAGTGCTTGTTGATTTAACACTTAACCCAAATTCAATATAAAAGATGTGGTCTTTTTTCTTGTAGTCTTTGCGATATGACACCAGCTATTTTGTAGAGTATTTTGCCCTGGATCTCTTGATGGAAAACGGAGAGTGCCGTGGTGTGATTGCACTGTGCATAGAAGATGGGTCCATACATCGCATAAGAGCGAAGAACACTGTTGTTGCGACTGGGTATGAATCTACTTTTCATGTTATCCCATTTCTTTATAGAAAAGTTAAATTTCAGGGCTGCTTAATAAAAATGTGGGTATTACAGAGTAATGGATCCCATATAGGTCTTGGTAAAACCTTGTGAGGGAGGTTAGCATCTCAGCCTTGGCATCTGATCTTGTGGAAGGTGGCTGGAACATAGTGCACCCCTCGGTCATATCTGAGGCTGTTATTTGGGTGCAGCAGGAGGGAACTGAGAAGCACGTGGATTACCTCCTGCTCTGAGTCTAGGAAAGAGCCTGGAGAGTCACAGGATGTGTTCCGGTGTCACCTTCCTGGCTTTCATTACTACTGTGGATACTGGCCCCTGTAATAAGATTATCCTATAACTTCAATTTCACTTTATACATTACGATTTTTACTGTTTTAAAAATTAAATTTTGGGGAGATGGCTCAGTGGAATAAGTGCTTCCCTGGCAAGTGCAAGGGCCTGAGTTCAATGCCTGTTTCTTTTTTTTTTTTTCTAATTTTTATTTATTTATTTATTTATTTAGTGTGTATGTGTGGCCAGCTCAGCCCACCAGGGGGCGGGGCTGGCTGGCATGCGGTGCTGGGGGATTGAACCGCGGTCCCTCTGCTTTGCTAAGCTTGTTCTAAGTAGGTGCTTTAGACCACTGAGCCATCTCACCAGCCCCACAATGCCTGTTTCTAAAAAAAAATTTAAATTTCTTGATAGCAAAGGGAGCAGTCAGCAAAATGAAAGGCAGCCAGCAGGTTAGGAGAGTACAACACAAAGCATGTGCCTAGGAAGTGGTTCATGTTCAAAATGCATGATTTCATACAACTAAATAGCAGAATACCTACATAACCTAAAAAATAGTCATAGGGCCTGAATAGACATAAAATACGTGTGTAGCCCACAAGTGTATGAGGAGACACTCAGTATCACTAATGAGGATTCAAATCAAAACCACAAGGAGATAATGCCTTATACCTTTGAGGCTGGATGATGGCAAAAAGACACGAGCTAATGATGTTGATGAGGATATGAAGAAAACAGAGCCTGGGTGATAGCTCAGCAGCCTGAGCGCCTGCCTGGCAAGCACAGGCAGGGTCCTGAGTTCAATCCCTGGTTCCAAAAAGAAAAAAACAGAAAAGGGAACTCTTGTGGGTTAGTGGTGGGCAGATAAATTGTATTGTGGAATTTTCTCAAACAACTTAAGGTAGAGTTAGCATATGACCAGCAGTCTCACCCCTGAGGGTGTATCCAGAGTCAGTGAAGCCAGCACGTCCTGGAGGTGTCCTCATGCCCATGTTCAGTATAGTAGTATTCGTTGTCACCTAGGTAAGCAGTCAGCCTGCTTATTGATGGATAAACAAAATGTGATATGTTCAGATAGTAGAATATTACTGGGTGCGTAGATGATGAGCTGTAGTAGATAGTGTTCTAGAGTGGCTGTGTCAGCTTCGTTTCCCTCTACATGTGCATAAAAATCTTTGTTCTATTAAAAAAAAAAATACTGCTCAGCCATAGGAAAAAGGGAAATCCTGTTATTTGAAACAATATGGCTATACATGGAAGGTGTACTAAGTGAAATAGCAGGCGCAAAAAAAACAGATACTACGTGATCTTACTTGTATATAAAATCAAGAAATGACAAATTCACAAA